CTCTCGTCCCTCTCGTCCCTCTCGTCCCTCTCGTCCCTCTCGTCCCTCTCGTCCCTCTCGTCCCTCTCGTCCCTCTCGTCCCTCTCATCCCTCTCGTCCCTCTCGTCCCTCTCGTCCCTCTCGTCCCTCTCGTCCCTCTCATCCCTTAGCTTCTCTCCTTTAACACTTTTTTTTCCCATCACTTTTCTTTTTCTATATACTTCATAATTTTTTCCTCCTACCCTTCTTCCTCTTTTTTTTTGTAGTGACATTTTTTTTAACTGTTTCGATGGCAGGAACCTTTCCTAAAGATTTTATATATACGTATAGTTCGTTATCACTTATGGTTTGATAAAAGAAAAAATTTTTTTAAAATTATATATATTAATTTAATTATCATTGATAATTAAATTAATATAAACGATTATGAAAATCGCAATTTAATCGGCGATTATAAAATCGCGATTTAATCAGCAATTTTCAACGATTATGAAAATCGCAATTAATCGTTCGCCAAAATTCGACTTGAATATATAGTTGACTCACGATTAATCGCGAATCCGTAATCGCGATTCCTATCCCTAGCTAGAATAGCTGTGTTTTTCAAAGAAGGAAATACCGTTCGCTATGTTGCTCATGTCGAAGGTATTCACTTCTCTACTGTCTCTAGAATAAATAAATGATTAAAAAAAACAGGTAGTAACAAAAATTGACTGAAATCTGGATGTCCACACTTAATTACTGACCGTGATAAATAAAAAGTGTGTCATTTTATAATGTCTAATGAAGCATCTATAGTAATTTAAGTAAAGGAGCAGCTCAAAAGGAACAAAAATATAGAAGTAAGTACTGAAACTATATACCGTACCCTCCAGAGAAATGGTCTAGTAGCAAGAACTAAAATTAAAAAGTCTTATCTCAAGAAGACATATTGAAATTGGCGATTTGCTTTTACAAAGAGGTATCTCTATTGGATAATTTCAGATTGGTCAAAAGTAATTTGGTCAGATGAAAGTAAATTCAATATTTTTAGTAGTGATGAAAAAGAATATTGTTGGAAGAGAGTGGAGGAACCTTTAAGAGACTTTCATGTAAAGCCAACTGTAAAATTTGGAAGTGAAAATATTATAGTATAGAGGTGCTTTACTTCACTTGGTGTGAAAAACCTCTGTAAGATAGATGGGAAGATGAATAGTGATCTTTACAGAAGAATACTTATAGAAGATTTTTTAGAAACACTCTTTTGGTATAATCTAAATAAAGAAGATATTATTTTTCAACAGGACAATAATTCTAAATATACTGCTAAACTTACAAAGGAGTGATTTGAGAAAAATGACATAAAAGTACTTAAGTGGTCAACTCAATCTCCAGATTTGAATCCCATTGAGTATTTGTGGAATGAGATAGATAGAAGATTGAGAAAACTTTCTATAAAAGTTACAAAAAAAGATCAGTTGTGAGAACAAATTCAAGATATATAGAATGATATTAATTTTGAGGTTTATACTAAATTAATTGAGTTAATGTCACAAAGAGTAAAAGATGTGATGAAGGCAAGAGGAAGATATACAAGATGGTAATATATAGTAAACAATTAGAATATATTATTTTTTTTATTATATTTATTTTATTTTTTTTTTAGAAAATTACAAAATCTAAAATTTAAAAAAATCACAGATGTAATGCAACATAAAAATTTTAAATAAATAAATATATTTCTAGAATTTTATAATTAACTTATAATAATTTTTATATTAATATAAAATATAAAACCAAGGCTATTTAATAAATACAAATTTATTATTATGAGATTTATATTTCTTGAGTTATATTGATTTGAAAATTGGTTTTTTTTTTTGTTGCAGTACTTTTGTGAACCACTGTACACATTCCCAAAATTGATTTTGAATTTTTGAAATTTATGTAGAATCTATTTTATATATGAAAGTAAAAAAAGTACCAGTTATATATATATTGAATTAAAGAATAATTTGGATAGTCAAAAAATTTTGAGTTTTAAGTAAAATAATTTTGTCTTCTATGAAAAACTATTTCAACTTTTTTTCTCAAAATTACAATTTCGGAGTCCAAAAATAATTTTGCGTACAAGTATAATTCCAATGTTATTGTAGGAAATTCTTATCTTAATTTATTATGAAAAGAGTTGTGTATCTTAGAAGCTAAATATCATATAATTGAGATAACAAAAATTTTCCTATCACTAAGAAAACATGTACTCTGTGAAATTAGAAACTTTGATTGGCCCAAGTTTTTTTACCTGGAAAAAGTTCAGGAAAGACTTAATGAATGTGATATTATCAAGCCTCCTTCAATGCAAAATCTAATAGACATAATGGTAATGCTATGTATGTGATCAGCAAATGTTGAAACTCTTCGTATCAATTGATACAGACCAAGTTGTAAGTCATGATATAATCCTGACTATTCTTTGTATTGCACTGGTTATATGAAAAATAAAGGTGAAGTAGAAAAACCCTGGCCATTCCTCTCAATAGAAAAAAAATTCAATATGAGCAAAAGAATTACTTATCTAAATTCAGAAATCAATACCAGATAAATTTTCCTTCTTGTTAAAAGATAAGGATGGAAATACTAATGTTGTGCCACTTAATCAATTCTTGAGTTGCTATAGAATTACCTCATATATGTTAAGAAAAATAGTTGTCGATTATGCTTCCAGAGTACACGGAGGTAAGAATGATACTGGCCATCAATATTTATGACAATTAGCATGATAAGTCATGCTTCATCAGTCAAACATTATGGTGTGATGAATGATAAACCAATTATTTTGGTGATTGGGGAAAATACTGAGATATCTGATATTATAGACTTATACAATTACTAATTGCCATGACAAATATTCCAAAATGTTTGTGGTGCAAAACCATCTCTAGATCCACGTAAAATTAATTCAAATTTATATGGGATATTTGTAGTTGAATAAGTAGTTGATTTACAATCGATCCAAGCTGAAATTTCTGCAGCATGATCTTCAGAAATGATAGTTGAAAATGGCTCATTTGCACGAGAAGGTAGTTCGGTAACCAAAACTGATCGTGCAGGTAAAATACTTGATTTTACTGGTTGAATAGGAGATAATAAATGCTAATTGATATCTTTCCAGAGTTGTTTTTTGAGAATCTTTTTGTAAGGATTAATTGAATCTAAGACTTCATCAGCTGAAAGATGAAAATAACGAATATATGGTAGATGTTGTTGCAATGTAGTTTTTAATGCAAGAAAATTATCCTTGGTCCAATCTTCAAGGTTTGTAAGAAGAGTAGTATTCTTAGAAATTCCCCACTTGATGATATAATCCCAAATTTCAACTTCTTTCATTTGCAAATCATCTCGTTTGAGAAGAGATACTAGTGCAGATTCAGGAAGGGAAGTAAAGTCATCTGAATCAAAAACAAGATTTGGATACTTTACAATAATATCATTACAATAATTTTCTAAATTTTTAAAGTTTTGTATATCAAAAAAGATGAGTTTCTAATTTGTTGGTTAATTCTTCAAGTTCAAACTCGTTAGCAGCTAACATTAAATCAAAAATAAATTTAGTGTCTGTATTTTCCAAGTTAACAATTCCTCCATAAATATATCTAAATAAAATAATTAATAATTAATAAAGTAATTTATAAAATGATAATAATAACAGATAAATAAAAGTATTTCATTATTTATAATAACTTAAGAATAACATCAAAAATTTGAGCCGAAATGACTGACTTGGTAATTTTTTTAATATTATTTTCATTTGGCTGAATATTTTCTAATTCTCTACGAAAGTATGACGATCGATATCTTAATATATTCGAATGTGCCTTGAAGGACTTTTCCTTATTTTTAATGATGACATTGTAATCATCTTTATCATTAAGAAGTTCAATAAAGTTTTGAGATAACTTGTCAAAAAAATTTTAATGCAATTTTTTTTTCAAATTATTGAGTCGAAAAAAAACTATTTAAATATATAATCTATGTGTGAGAAATTAATGTATATGTCTAAGTCTGACTGATCATACGGATATTTTAGTTAATTTAATATTTATGACAAATCGAAGTAAGCTCTCATTCATGTTTTTTTTCTGAGGAAATATAACTATATCTCAGATAAAAAGATCATTGAACCTCCATAAATAAATAATAAAATGATTAAAGAATACTGTTCACGTAATATACACCCTTTATACAAAAATAATAATAATTTAACCGTTTTTTCAAATCCCACAATGGTTTACCATTTCCTAGTATAGATTGTTTGAGTTTTCGTTTGTAAGTCCGGAGCATAACGTAATTTATATTGTGACATGTGATCGTTATTGTCCGGACGAGTAAGGACTTACAATGGTTTACATAATCATTATCAAAATTCGGACAACCACTTACGTTTTTGATATTTTACCTATTTTCGCATCAAAAATGTAACTTGGTATCGAAGAGAAATGTGATCTACGTTGTGTCCTCTTACAAATATATAAGCCACTAAGGGGTTCACAATAATATTTTTGACTTTTTCTATGGAAATTAATTTTATTAGTAATCTTGTCAAAGGAGCAAATTATGTCGGACACCACAATTAAAATGTTCACCGACAACTATTTTACTGAAATCGAAGAAAAAATAATCAAAGGGAGTTTTGGTATAAATATAAAGATATTGTTTGACGTTGAAATAAAATCCGAGTTAAGTTTTTCTAAACATCAAACAGATACTGCTGCTCAAATATGGGCCTTTGAAGAATCGAATATTTTAAGACCGGAAATCTCCGCATCTTTAATTGACTCAAAAAAAAAGGAGGCTGATATATATCGTCGAACGAAGGGCGAATGTTGTATATGCGCCTATAATATAACAGATGAAGATGTTAATTCAAGAGGATTGGCGAAACTACCTACAAAATTAATTTATGTCGACAAATGGTGTGTGTTCGACACAGTTAAATTGTGTAATAATTGTATAGAGATGGCATCGAATTATCGTACAATTTCCTATGTATGGGGATCAGGAATTTGTTGTAAAGCAAACCAATACATTCAAAATACTACAGAACATCTCATAGATCATAACGGCGCACGAATGAGGAGGATATTAGAAGTTATTAAAAAAACGGGGGCTGGCAAATACGTATGGATGGATATGTTCTGTATCGACCAAAGCGACGCGGTAACTAAGGGAGCTGAAATAGCAAGAATGGCACACTATTATTCCTGGAGTCATTCCACGATTATTTTTCTTGATATTGATTTGTCATTATCTGGATTGGTTCTGGCAAAAGAAAATTATTATGTAAAAACATTGGATTCATTAACGATGAGAAATAAACTTTTAACGATAGCTGGCTTGCGGCAGCCTCTTATTTGTAATGAATGGTTCACCAGAGTATGGACTTTGCAGGAGTGGATGCTTGCCCAAAAAGTAAGAATATGTTTGATAGATTCTGCACAAATGGATGTAAATTATGCGTTCCTAAGCTATGATTTCCTCAACGCATTGATGACTTTTGATGAAAAAGTGCTGTACGACTGTATTACTCAAGAAGATAGAAAAAATGCACTAAAATTATACAGTAATCTCGGTCGGTCAGAATTTATAGATTATACTAATAGTATGTTTGAACTTCGACGGTATGATAGTAGTCTATCTGCATCTTCTGCGATTCAATTGGGGGGCCGACGGTTTTGTAAAAATGAACAGGATAAAATTGTGGGAGTAATTGGATTAACCGGCATATCAGCAGTGAGATCGTACCCATCTTCGCTTACAGAAGCTTTAGAAAATTTTATACAAGAATCAATAGCTATAGGTGACTACTCATTGATCGTTGGACCGTATTCTACTAACCATAATTTGGGATGGAGATGCTTAATCCCTATAGATATCGAAGAAATTAGATTTTCAGGTAGGACACATAGGCTGTTAGGACAGCCTGGAAGTGTTATTGAAGGAATCGGGATTAAACTGAATTTAGTAGACACAAATTACAACGTTGCCCAGTATACTGAAGCAGGCAATTATATGCGAATGAAAATGATCGATATCACCAAATGGCAAGCGATTAAGGATGTAGTGGATTTGCAGATAACTGGATATTTCTACACAGATAGTAAAGACATAATTGGTGCGCGTTTATTTGTTGTTAGACCTTGTAGTAGATATGGCTCATCTACATTCGGATTATTATTGAATCAAGTAAATAGAGACCATTGGCACTGTGTAGGAAAATCTAATAATTTGAAAGTTAAAGCAAACACATCCTTAAGCGTTGGAGGATTTGAAACATTACGAAATACCTCGATAATAATTGGTCATTAAATTAAAATTAATTCTAAATGTCAATTCAGAAATCATTAATCATAATTCTCTTGGTCCACATTTGTCTAGTTTAACAATGTAGTGAATGCATGGCACAGTAACCATTATAATATTATGTATAATATTATGTATAATATGAATGTATTGTAACATATAAAAAAGTTATGGTGTCGGCTAAACTGATATAACAAAAATATTGAATTAGTGGACGTCTAAACATGAAAGACCATGTCTGCCGGGAGAGAATATTATGTTTTACCCCATATTTACCTATTTGCTGCATCAACTAGGAAATGGTAAGCCCGTGTTATCTATCAAAAAATTGGACAGACATCCTTTCCCAAGTTACGTTTTTGATTTTTTTCCTATTGTTGCATCATAAATGTAACTTTATGTGTACATTAGAATGTCCTACGCTACGTTCCGGACGAAAAATTAAATGTCACTTAATAAATAAACTCTTCACTTTATTTATATATTATAGTATAGCTAATACATATAATTAATATCATTTGTCAATACATTTTATTCTACAATATTGAATTCTTTTTCTCTTGTACCATACATGATTCTATATAATAATATATATAAATGTTCTCATTCTTTAAGATTTTCTAACAAATTTTAAATACTTCATAATTGACAATAGAAAAGTAATTTGTTGATGATGATGGTCTTATAGGGTTTTCATAATGACAACCATTATAATTAAAACTTCGCATATGAAAATCTTGTCCAAAATATGGACCATACTCATTTTGATCCTTTTTACATATATTAAGAATTGCCATTTTGGGATCTTTTACTCTACTAAGAATTGAATTTTGAATATTACCATTTTTAATGAGAAAATGAAATTATCATTTGTTTCCATCCATAGATCTTTAATATTACTGTTATCCCATACTAAAGGATTATAACATCCAAGTATTTCATCAGTCCCTTTGACTTTCATTACCAAAATTGTACCAGCGTGGCACTTCTTTACTTTTGCCACATCCACAGTAAAATCTTCATCATCATTAGATGATTCAGACCCAGACCCAGATGAGAACAAAGATTCAGATACGGTATCATTAAAAATAGTCTTTTTTCTTTTATCCTCACACGGTATACAATTTCTTCGAGAAATATTTGGGTTCGCTATCATATTTATAATTCTTGACAAATCTTGGATTTCATTATCTTTAGTAATCGATGAAGAGAGATCTGAATTTTCTTATTTGATACTTGCCTAACAATACTGGATATTGTATTCATAGTATTTAGAAATTCGTGGTCATCTCCATTAATTTCTATTCCCAAATGTTTAGCAATTTTTTCAGTTATAATTGAAAAGTCAGCACCTGAATGTTTTAGTCATTGTTGATGTCATAATATGTGTCTTATATTATTATTTATTAAAACACTGAAAAAAATATAATTAAATATATTATCATAATAAAGCATCACAATGAAAATTTTATCTTGTAAAATTAACAAAACACCAGTTAAAGTTATATTGGATACTGCCAGAAATTCTAATATTATATACAAGAATTTGATAGATAAGTTAGGTTTAGAATATGATACTTCTTATAAAGAAAAAGCAAAATTTCTAATCTCTTTTCCATTTGAAAAAATCTCTAATAATTTAGATGCAATAGCATCCTCACATTTTGAGATGATAGAAGATAGTATACAGTAGGAATAACATAATTATATTATTCTCACTTAGTTTAGGTTATTCCCACTCACATGGCGAAGGTGACTACCTTTTGTTATCAGACCACATGACAATGGTGATCAACTTTTGTCATCAGACCACATGTGAACTATTATATATCAGGTTGATGATCTGATAGAGGTATGATGATAAACTGTACGGTACGAAATGCTATTTTGTACTGTACGATTTTATATAAATTTTTGCACAAAATTCGTACAATAATATATAT